GATAATAGCTTAAGTAAATCTTTTTATAATATTTTTGCTAATGTTAGGTTCGAATACAATTGGCCTGCTGGCTAATGTTCTTTTTAAATATATTTTTGACAATAAAAGTGAAATGAATATATTTTAAGATAATGTAAAAGAGAGGTAAACTTTATTAGTGTTTTTTTTGTATACATTTTGTGAAAATAAATCGATTTGATTAAAATCATCATTTGGCCAGGGGTGAAAGGGGCGGCTACAACCAAAATCATCTAACCAACTCCGAAACCCCTGACCACAATAGGTAACAAAACCCCAACCCTCCCTTTGGACCCTTATTGGACATTATCCTCGATTGCCATTCGCATCTCTCTTCTTACGGCACAAACATCCTGGTTCTGTCACTGTAAACCAGCAGCCTAAATTACAGATTTTTTTCAGAAATTGTGACAATATTCACTAGCGGAATGTATCTGGCAGAAGTTGCTAAACTTATTGTTGCAAAGAGAAAGATATTCAGGCAATTCTTTCTTTGGGGTTTACTTCCTGTCATCTGCACACGATAGTTTAACATCCTGTTATTAGTCACGTGATACCGAGATTGTATTCAAACAGGTTGTGATTTATTTCAAAACATTCATTCTATATTGAGGTATCGTAGCAATATCAATGCTGAGCAACTTCAATGTGAGTTATACCAAAATGTCATTTTGTCATTGATATATAAATACAATATGGTACAGCTTATTGATAATAATTGATTATTCTTTCATATTAATTTTATTCGTTTCTGTTGCCAATATTAATATAAGCTTATTTACTTCACGTTCACCATTTTTTTCCCAGATTCAAATGGTTCATCGGAATCGGAGTACGAAACGGCTTCGTCAAATTTTAAGTACAGGTATGTAGAGCATAGATAGCCCAATACATTTTATCTTATAATAAAAAGTGAAAATGTCAAAAAATTCCTTATTGAAAAGTAGCATACACAGTTCATCCTCCTATCCGAGACTTCTCTAATAAAATTTGTATAAGTACGATTCTATCATGTCTGTTAAAACTTAGCTCACCCTCTAATCCAAGATTGCACCATAATGAAAACAGAATGCTCATTCTAACTACGTAAATAATTTATGCTATGAGGATCTTAATCATCTTGAACAACAATCTGCTTATACCTTTTACTGTTAACTATATTTCTTCAAAGGTAGCTGTAGTTTAACATGAAATTATATTAACTGGTTTCAATATTCCTTAGCTTTGCCCATCCAACAATCTGTAGTTTCATACTGTACCTTCATATCATACGGCTACATTTTTTTACCGGTTTACTAATGACGACAACCTTCCATAATCTGTTGGCCCTTCAAAAACTTACAAGTGAACAACATGTTCAATCCTTGCAGCACATTGAAATTATAAAAATAAAGTAGGGTGGCAATTGTCACCGTCTAAACGTACACTTTTGGTCTTTAGCAATGGTCTATTTTACAGGCTATTAAACAAAATTCCATATTAGTGCTAGTATTTTATTAAAGCAACTGCATTTTATTAGTCCCAGGAAATAGGATTTGTATAGCTCTCTCCTCAATAAACGTTTTGTTAACTTAGGAACCGATGAGTCACAGTAGGTCTATGCACAGTATCCTCTCACTTTTGTATAATTCCAACTAAATCAGCCATTAAAATAACAGAATGAAAGGACCTACATGTTCAGTTTACTTTGAAGGGAAAATGTTTTACTTTGGTGACCACTTGCAGTGGTCTTTGGAAATTTTGTATTTGATTACATTTAGTTATGTTGATTTTGGAGACCACTTTTTAGCAATTTTCTCATTTAAGAGCCTTTCGTCGTAAACTCTAATTATGCTGTTCATAATATAGACCAATTTTAGCAGCGATCCCTATTCAGAAGTCTTTAATTGTAGACCGTTCCCGAGACCATTTTCATCATTTACCCTAGATCTTAGGAGTATGGATGTCGACGTTTACACAGAGTATATAGAAATTCAAGATTAATTCGTTTTTGTACGGCCATACATATATATATACATATATATATATATATACAGTACATATATATATACTTTGTGTATATATGTTCCTGTCTCTTATACACATCTAGATGTGTATAAGAGACAGATATTATCGTGACATGGTAAAATGGATTATGCATGATGTCATAAATTCTTATTAGTATTAGTAATTCAATTACCTTACACTACGGTACCATGCTACTCAACATGTTCCTATGAGCACTGTTATTATTTTTTATCATTTGTTTATATTGTGTTTACAGTGCTACGCAGCAACTTGATTTGAACATTATTTACTATGATTCCCCAGCTACGACCTATAATCTTTTTTAGCTTAACCACAGCTCCACTATGTATGAGCGTTTCAATCAGTTGTTTGGCAGTGCCCGGGGATTAGAACTGTACTATAAGTCTCTGTGGTTTAATGAGGATGATACTCGCCTTGACAGCGAGAGGTTGCAGGTTCGTTTTCCGAGACACCCTTTTTAATGCAACTGAAATAAAAAGGAACTTGTCTTTGATGAACGATTATTACATGTTCCTATGATATAATAGAGATAAATTCTAAATCGTCTTGCAGTAATGCTATAGATAGGCATAAAGATAAATATAAATAATAATAATAATAATAATAATAATAATAATAATAATAATAATAATAATAATAATAATAATAATAATAATAATAATAATGATAGATGGATTATAAACGAGGTCTCTATGCGCTCGGGACTAGATGATGCACTTTTGCAATTTTGAATAACTTTCTCCTCCCCTGAAGGTCACTTCATGTCCTCTGTAGCCAGTAAACAGGCGCACTTTCATCTGTCCACATATTTAACGTTAAAAAAACAGGAATCTGCATATCTGAAAAAAATAGGTGCCCCAACCGGAATTGAACCCGGGATCTTCCGTCTCTATGAAAAGAAAAAAGAATCTCCGGACGGATTTCCAACTATTCTCTCGCTACCAAGCAAGTATCATATCGGCAAAAGAGACCTTATTTATATGACATAGGCGCAAATCTAACCCCAACACTTTTTCTTATGCAACGGTTAAGCTAGAAACTATGATGCTTGTAAGTCGCAGCTTGGAAATCATAGTAATTAATAGGTTATTAAAAATTAGGTTTGCTGCGTAGCACCGTAAACAAAATTGGAACAAATAGATAAATTATAATAACTCAAATATATATTTCTATGTATAAGAAGTATAAGCTTTCTTATTTTGTTACTGGAAGTCAACGCACTAACGGCAACCATCGGACAAACAAAATGGAAATGTTAGTAATGCTCTGTTTTATACTCTATGCTGATCTTATTCTTTCTTCGGTCTAATGGATTGTTGCCATGGCGGCACTTGGCAACATCTGCAATTAGTTCCTTTAAAATAAACTCAACAATATGCCAGTGATTTTAAACAACAAAAAACGTTAGTTAGATTCAAAGATAGGCCAAGGTGATAATTGACTAGACCACATAGACTAATAACAGGCCTACATTGTAAAACTCAATCTCATATAGACTTAACAGTCCTACATTGTAAAACTCATCTCACATAGACTGATAGGCCTACATTGTAAAACTCACCTCATATAGATCTAACAGGCCTACATTGTAAAACGCACCTCATTTACTTTTTTTAAATATTTGAAGTAATAATATTATACAAATTTATAAAGAACCTTCATATGGGTTAACAGCAAAGAAGTTCTAGAATTATCTACACTTGAGTATTTTCTAATTCATAACCTATATTATTACTACTCATTCGTAATTTAGTCGTGGAAAAACGACATTAGTTAATTAAGCATGAACTTTGCAAATAATCGGAAACAGTACTACTGGGAATCATGTCTGAGTTTAGAAGAAATAAGGCTTCCGCATACGGGGTTTAATTTCCACGTCGTACTCAAAGTCAGACACCTAAGAATTTAATTAACAACCGTTTAATTTTAGATTTTTCAATTTATTACCTTTAACCAAGAATAAGCAATATCATCATCCTAATTTTATGACCTTGCAAAATACAAGTCACGTGGTTATTTTCTATCGTGAATATAACGATTTGATCACAGCGCAGTCCTAACGGTTTATGTAACAACTTAACAACATAAGGTCATAATACATTACTATGCTCCATATATAACTTTTAACTCCTATATATCCATCAATTATCCACAAAACTATCCATCCATCCGTCCGTCCGTCCATCCATCCATCCATCCATCCATCCATCCATTTATTCATTCATTCATTCATTCATTCATTCATTCATTCATTCATTCATTCACAGTTAAATGTTGAAAATAAGAACACCGATGCCTATGCATGACTGCAGTGTGACTTGCCGTGGTCATTAAAATAATTAAATGTCTATTAAACACAATTATCTACTATGATATTTTATTCTGTACAACAGTGACGTATCAGATTTTGAAAATGATGTAGATGAAGACCCGAAAATGCCCCTTCCAGTTGTGACCATTAATGTGGAGATGGCCACACCACCAGAGTTCGCATTTCGTCCACAAAGTCGTGTGGTAGAACGAGGTAGCACCGCTAAATTCATCTGTGTACTAAAAGGTAACTCGGTAATATATAGGCCTATTTTGTATTGGATTAAGTTTATACTTAGATATCATTAATCAAATATTTATGTCGACGACGTTCGTAATGAATTTTCGTACCATACCGCATTATCTAATAAATGTGTAATTACTTTCAAACATGATTTACTTTACAACAATCTTCGTGTGATATAGGCCAAAACCAGTATAAACAGATACAACTCGGGTCATGAGATTACGCTACCTGCTAGTGAATACAGTTTTCACGCGGGAGGACGTAGTTAATATTTCGCCATTACTTTGATTAGGCTATGATGTGTGCGCAAAGAACACAAGCCAATTCAATCAAGTTTTTTATCTTAAAGTATTAAAGTACTCTACATGCATATGGGTTAAAGGAGCAAAAGAATGTGCAGGCCCAGAACCCATATAACTCCAAAGCAAAACCACTCAGGACCAGGTGTGTTCACCCGTTTTATGTATTGACAATACTCATGACTTTGCTAAAAGTATACATACTGTACACTGCGCAGCAATACTAATATAATGTACACAAAAAAGAAAGCAATAAATTAAAAATGAAATCAATTGCTGTGGCGGATCCAGACTTTCACCGACGGACGGTCTACATCCCCTCAGTCCCATGGTTGGTGCTGAGGTAAGAACATTTATGATTATGGAACCTTTAGATGGCCGGAAATGGTACTCTCCGACATAAATTTAAATATAATTTTCGTTTTTTTCTCTTTTTTTTTTATTTTGAAAATGTAGGGGGTGGGGAGGGGGAGGCTGGGCTCCCTTGAATTCGACACTGAATTGTATCTGACT